GCAGCCTACCTTTCGCCGGTCGTCGACCTGCATGAAGAGATCATTACACGACTGAAGTCGCTCCTCGAAGGTCGTGTTGATCAGCTGCTCCATCGAGCGGACCTCGGCCTCCGCCGCCTCCCCCTCCTCTGAGTCATTCGGTATCACCTTGTTCTTGACGTCCTCGCGCAGGTTCGCCAGCTGCTGCTCCTTGTCGGCGAGAATGAGGCCGTTCAGGTAGGCCTGCAGCTCGATCTCCTCCTTGATGCGTTTCTCCTCGAGCACGTTCCAGCGCTTCTTGCGCGCCATTCGCATTTGATAGGCTGGTCGTCGGTGGGGGTGAACATTAAACATTAAATTAAACTCCTGCCCCTTTGAAGCAAACCAACACCCTGGTCTTACCAATCTCGTCGCCGTAGTTTCGCTTGCTGTCCTTGGAGAGGTCCATCGCCCGCTGGAGGTGCATGATCGACTCGTCGTAGTGGTCCATCTCCAGCAGCGCCTGGCCGAGGAAGAAGTGGCCCTTGATGAGGTTGGCGTCCACCGCCAGCGCCCGGCGGCAGTCCTCCGCCGCGGACTCCCACTTCTTCTGCTTCAGATAGCAGAGGGCTCGATTCGTGTAGAAGGTCGCCACGGTGGAGTTCTTTTTCTGTTTTTTTTAGAGGAGGAGTTTTAGTTGTTGTTATTATTGTTGATCATTCAAGTCAAATAAGAGGTCTAACTTCTGGCTAAATACTTACGATCGCCTGCGAGTAGAAGGTCACCGCCTCGTCGTACTTGTGCAACGTAAAGTACTTGTTGCCCTCGTCCTTCAGCTCGGCGGCGCTCATGTTGTGCTTCATATTGTCGGCAGACTGCTTCCTGAACTGCTTCTTGGAGCTGGTGCTCTTCGATCCAGTGCCAACAGAATCGGCGGAGGAGTTCGAAGAGCGCTGCCCAAAAAAGTCGAGGTGCTGCAGGCAATTCAGCTTGCCAGAGAGGAAGTGGTGGTGGTGGTTATGGTGAAGAGAGTTTGAAAGGTGAGAGCAAAAAGGTAAGTTGATGAGGAAGAAGGGTGAGAAAAAGGTTGCTGATGTTTGGGGATGCTTTGACAAAGAGCGAGAAGTTCGAGCACTTTTTAAACTTTTTCCACTTCAGCCTTTCTGACAGATCGTAGCGTGTCTGAGTGAGCGTTGATGCTAGAAACAAATCACCATCATCATCATCAACATCACCACCAGCAACAAGCAAAGACAACAACAAGCAAATCACAGCTCGGCCAAAGACGATTGTGCTAGATTTGAGCTGCTGCTGCTGCTGCTGATGATTGTTTGTGTTTGTTTGCAGCGACAGCGACAGTGGCGCTCGATGCACAGACTGCGCAAGTGCAAGTGTATCCAGTCCAGTTCGACAGCGACCACAGTTCACCCCCGCTACTTGGGTGAATCCAAAGAGTGAGAGAGAGCAGAGGTCACACCCTCCTCCACTAAATCCTCCTTTTGTTCTTTGACGAAACCTTTTATTACGTAATGAGCTGATGGTTGCAGGTGGCAGAATTAATAGTTAATGAAGAAAATTGGAAAATAAATAGGATTTTAAAAGATTGCGCTAGGGGATAAAAGTGAAGAAGAAGAGGAGGAAGAGGAGGAAAATGATGGTGGTGGTGGTGGTGGTAGTTGTGGGCGTGGTAATCATCGTGGAGGAAGAAGAAGAAGTAATAATAATGGTAAATGCATACAGAGAGTGGTGTGAGGTCAGGTTAGAGCAGATAAAAACGAAGGTGAGAAACAAGGGGATGAAACTTGAAAGATGTTCTTCTTCTTCTTCTTCTTCTTCTTCCTTTTCTACCTCTTCTTTTGCAGGGTGCCACAATTTGAATGAGTTTATGCAATTGCTGTACTTTGTTGCAGACGGGTTCCACACTGGCCTAAGGGGGGAAAAGTAACTCAGCAGCCTATAACCTTTTCAGGGCGCGCTTCTTCTTGCAGTCGACAGTGGCAGTGGTCGGCTTGCCGTTGTTCACTGCCAGCTTCGAGGATCGAAGGTTGTTGCTATTGCTGGCGAGCTTCTTCAGCAGCGGACCACCGCCGCCGTTGCCGCCTCCGCCGATTGCGTCCTCGCCGAGGTGCTTTCTATTGCCACCGCCGCCTTTTTGTGGGCTCTGCTGCTGCTGGCCATTGGCGGAACGGTTCTCCAGACCGCCGTTCTCCACGTTCTTGTTCTGATTGCTCGCCAGCACGGGCTTGGCGTGAATCTCCGTGATCATCTTCGCCCGCTTGCAGTAGTCGTCGTAGTGCTCCAGCAGCATCTTCGCCGCCTCCTCGTTCAGCGCCGACTCGGCATTTGGAACGATGAGCAGGCATTTGATGACCTGGGGTTTGAAGTAGAAGATTAGTAAGTGAGCGGAGTTCAAAGCAAACAGCTCTGATTTTTTGTATTTACCAGCAGAATGTGCTTCAAGCCGAGGTCCTCCTTCCAGTCCTTCTTCAGCGTGTTGACGCAAATCTCCCCACTGCGTGAGACGTTGGGGTGGAAGATTTTGGTGAGAAAGAAGCCTTTGGGCGGCGCCGAGGGGAAGGACTTCCCGAGGACGAGCTTCACCCGAAACTGGCCATTGTGATAAGGGGTACCAGCTGAAAAAAGGAAAGAGAACAGCTCAGGTTAGCTCAAGAGCGGAAAATCACCAGGAAATCCCCAACGCCCTAAACAACAGCAACAAAAACAAGGAAACTATAGATCTATGAATTTCCACCCCACTTACCCGGCCCTTCGACGACCGCCTGAATGTCGGAGACGTCCTCCTCATTCGGTATCACCTTGATGCCTTCGGGTGGCTGGCTGACCAGCTCCGCCAGCTCCTTGGCCACCCTCCGAATAACATGTGGGGCAAGGTTCTCCACGTTGGATGTCTGTGTCGGTGGTGGTGGTGATTTGAGGTGGTGGTGTAAATATTGTAAACTTAAACCGAATTATCTGCAAAACTGGAACTTACCGAGGACATCGTGCTTTTGGGGTCGGATGAGAGAAATGGGGGAACGGGTATTCTTTTGGTTGTGATCCTCTACAGTTCTGCTTCGTTTGGGTGGCGCGATTGGGTGAGTTGCAAAGTGAGAGGCTGCTGCACTTTGGAGGCTGCAGCTGCTGCTTTGCTTTGGCAACGGTTTTAGCGCACTATTTCCACCGACACTGACGGAGGGAACGTCACGTCAGCTGTAAAAATTGTGCCAAATCTCTGTTTTGATTTTTCCTCTGCCTCCAAATGTGACTTCTTTTTTGCCGGCACTCTCTTTTCTCTCAACTCTCTCACTACTTTGTTCTATTTTCCAAAAATCAAAAACCTACTTTGGAACAACAACAAAATGAACTGAAGAACATGGTCTGCATACGGAGCAAAAATCACACTAATGTCGTCAATCTGATTGACAAGTACGAGGCGCGCTTTCAGACGGTCCAAGCGAGTGGCGTCGACTGGCGTCTGGAGCAGGTAGGTTCTACTTGGGAGTTTGTTCTTGTAGTTTGTAAAAACGATTTCTTGATTTATCAGTACCTCAAGACGATATATAAGCTGCTTGATGATGAGGAGAAGGCTACGGGTAAATTGTAAGTTGTGGGGAGTTGGAATTATTTGAAAATTGTAAGAGTATGACCCTCATTTTTCTTTTTCAGAAACGACGAGCTTATTACCGCGAAGAAGAAGGCCGACTTCTTTAAGGGCCTCCTGGAGGCGCAGTCAAAGAGTGCCGTTCTCGAGAAGTACCAGGCAATCAACGCTGTTCCGGCGCTGGTGCCGCAAATTGGCAGCAGCAGCATCAACGGCACTAGAAACCAGAGCACCGAGAGCAGCATTCGTCAGCGAAATCTCACCAAGGCGATTCACTTGAACAAGGCCGAGCAGGAGATTCGAAGGGAGCTACTGCAGCAGCCTCAGAAGGGGCTGGATTCGGAGGGCAGCAAACAACAGCTGTCGGCGGTTAAGCTGCACTCGGGGAAGAACTTTGACGACATCGTCAAGTACCACAAGCTGCTCCAGGAGAACGTCACCAATGAGATGATTGAGCTGACGCGCAACCTCAAGCACAACATTACCGTGAGCAATGAGATAGTGCGCAAGGACACTGAGGTGGGTAGTATTTTGGGTTTTTTGGTAACCGCCGATTTACCTAACTGACTTTTTTCCATAAACCTGCGCAGCTTCTCGAGAAGACGAACGTCACCGCGGACACGCAGTACAGCAAGCTGCGCCAGAACACCAACAAGATCAGCGAGTTTGCGAACAAGGCCTGCGAGTACTGGCTGTGGATCTCCATCGCCATCGTCGTCGTCACCTTCCTCACCATGGTCATCTTCATTCGACTCTTCTAAGGCCGTCGCCATTGTTGTTGACTGGACTGACTGACTGTGTGTGTGCAATACGAGTGGTGCCAGTTTCCACTGGTGGTGATTTCCACTCCAGCTCCAAGTGAGATATTAAACAGTGTGTTCAGCGGCAAATCGAAAGAGAACGAGAAAAAGACAATCCGACCCCCTGACAGGTCTGAGGCTGGATTTTAGCTTTGATTGAATAACTCTGCGTATGATTTGCACACGATCAAACGGTGGGGAAATTATCTGCCTGTTAGCCTGCCTCTCCTGTTTGCAATCCCTCGCCAGTATGTCAGTCAAAAACAAGCGAAGGCGACTACAAGTGCGATTACACGAGTGCCATCATCGTCACCATCAACATCACCATCATCATCATCAAGTGATGCTCCAGCTAATGTTTAACAAATACTCAATCACACACACACATTTGCGCAGTAAGAAAGTGCAAATGTGTTTTTGTGTGTGTGTGCAGCCTCTCTCACACTGTGTGAGTGCAACGCCTCCAGCGAGGGACACGATTATGCGTGTAAGAGTGGCCGCCGACGTCGCACTGGCTGCTGCCACTGGCAATGCTGCTGCTGCTGCTGCTACTGCCAAAACAGCAGACGGCTTCGGGTAATAACACACACAGACAGAAAGTGCAGTAGCAGCAGCTGTTTTTGTTGGTGTTGGTGTTTCGGTGCAGTGTCCCAACATCACAACATCAACTCATCATCACACACCGGGACATGATCAGCTCCAGGAGGAACCTTGAAGAGGAAGGAGAGGTTACAGCTTCCCAGGCCAGCAAGACTCAGCTACTAGGCCAGCTCGAGGCTCTGGTCCAACAAGTAAGAAGTTGCATTTTGGGGTTTTTTTTCCACTTTTGCTTCTGGTTTCTAATTTTATTTCTAATTTCCTTTCCTTTCCTCTGAACAAAGTGTGAAAGTCGGTACAGCAACCGCTACGAGCTGGCCACCGAGTACGAGAGCACCGTTGCCAGTCTGTGCGCCTGTCTGGAGGCGGTCTTCAGCCATGGCTTCAGGCGGCAGCCGCCGCCGAGACAGTCCAAGCACTCGGGTAGTAAATTGTAAGTTTGAGTTTTGGCTTTTTCATTGAACCAATCATAACCGCCTTTGTTTAGAAAAATTCTCAACGGCTTCACCGGCAGTAGCAGCATCAGCTCTGCTAAGAACTCCTCCACCTCCTCCTCTTCAGCGGACACCTCAGAGAACTCCTCTGCTCAGCTGTGGCACTTTATCAGCCAGTACCTGACGGAGCACGAGGTGCAGCGCTTTGTGTCGTTGAGAAATGTAAATACCGGTGAGTGTTTTTTTCGGAGATGTGATGATTACTTTCGATTGAATCTGACCTTCAATGTTTTTAAATCTTTCGGCAGACTTTGGCCGCGGTCGGAGCTGGCTCCGCAACGCCCTCAACGAGCACTCGCTGGAGAAGTACCTGTCGGTGATTCTCGCGGACGACGATGGACTTCAGTCTACCTCCTCCTCTTCTTCTTCCTCATCTTCCACCTCAGCTCGACGAAAGTTCTACCACGACTGGGCGCTGCTGCTCGACCCGCAGCGGGCGCCGCTGCTGATCAGCACCACCAGGCCACTTAGCGGCGTCCTCTTTGCCCTCTCCATCGACCGGGCCGATTTGGACGTCGAAGAGGGTGAGGGTGAGGGAGGAGGAACTTTATCATCATCATCGACAAAGAACTCCTCTCTGAAGAGCGGCACCACCGAGGAGGCTCGCCTGAAACCGGTGAAGAAGAAGAGCGGCGGCTTTGGCACCTCTTCAGGTGGTAACTCGGGCGGCGGCGTCCAAGCGGCGCTGGTGAAGAGTCGCAAGAAGAAGATCACCACCACCGTCGTGACCATCAACGACGAGGAGGAGGACCTGGAGAGCAGTGACCTGGAGACGCTGAATGGCGACGCCGATCTGTACGCGAGGAGCGCCCCGGTGCCCTCCTTTATGAAGCTGGCAGCCGCCGCAAGTTCTTCACACACGCTCGAACACGGTCGAACACCGCCTCCGCCGCCGAGCAAGCTAATTTCTTCCTCCTCCGACGCTGGTGCACTGAAAACCTCCACCATGGTCCTCTATCCACTGTACGACAACGATCACGAAGGTGGCGGAAGCTCGCTTTCTGCCGCAGACTTCTGCGACTCGCCGACGCCCACCAACAACACCACCAGCGAATCAATTACCGCCGGTGATCATCAGCAGCTGAAGACCAGCTCCAGTGGTGGTGGTGGTGATTTAGCCACTGCAAACCGGCGCCTCCAGGAGCGGCTCGACTTTCTGCAGCTGGAGAAGGAGAAGATCCTGCGCGACAACAGCCTGCTGAAGATTCAGCTAAACAAGTACCTGGCGGCGCTGGAGCTTCTCAAGTACAATCACAGTCGCGGAGGAGAGGCCGGGGGTGAAACTTCTTCTTCCAACAGTAACAACAGAAGAGAAGACGGGGGCACCAGTAGTGGTGATAACGAGGTGGAGGTGTACGAGCGGAAGCTCGTCCAGGTGTCGGAGATGCACGGCGAGCTGGTGGAGTTCAATGAGCACCTCTACCGGGTGATCCAGCAGAAGGACTCCATCATCGGCCGACTGAGGGACGAGCTGGTGGAGCTGAGGGGGCCGGTAAGAAAATCTCTCTCTTTTTTGCGCATTCAAAAGCTTTCTAACTTTTTATCAACAACTTATCAACAGCTTCCCGACAACGACGACCTCCTGAGCATCTCCTCGGAGGCGGCGACCAGCGCCGTGGCGGCGGCCTCCATCGCCGACCAGTCGCTCTCCTCCCTGCCGCTCATTCACGTGTGGATTCCCACGGCCTTCCTCTCCGGCGGCTTCAAGGGCAAATCGCACCACATCTACCAGATCTACCTGCGCATCCGCGACGAGGAGTGGAACGTCTACCGGCGGTATTCGCAGTTCTACGCTCTGCACAAGAGCCTCAAGGCGCGCCACCCCACGGTGGTGGGCGGCTTCGAGTTTCCGCCGAAGAAGGCCCTCGGCAACAAGGACTCCAAGGTGGTGCAGGAGCGGCGGAAGAAGCTGGAGACCTATCTGCGGAATGTGCTCAACTACCTCCAGACGAACAGCGGCAGCGGGAGCGGTGGCGACCACCTGTCCAGCAAGGAGAAGCTGGTCGCTGCGGTGCCCTTTCTCAGGTTTGTTTACATTTTTCGTTTTTCGGTTCTAAAACTCATCTTTTCTCGTTCTCTTTTTTTTTCAGCGACAAGTTCTTCCTTCAAGACCGGTCGCACAGCGTCTCTGACACCAATTTGAATGCGAGCAGCAATGCCGGTCGAAGTTCCAGTCGAAGCCATACTCAGTCCTCAGCAGTTCAACAGCAGCAGCAGCAGCCTCAGCCGGCTCAGCACTACATGGGCTTCTGATGTGACCGGTGGTGGTGGTGGTAATGAAGATAATCTCCCCTTGTTTGTATCCTCCTCCTCCTCCTCCTCTTCAATCATGATCTTAAACCTGTTACTCTATTTTTTGTACTTGAAATTCTTCTCTTCCTCCTCTTCCTCTCTCCATGTTCATCCATATCAAATGCTCTCTTTCTCTCCTAACAATAATTTATGGTTATATTTACAGTTTGGTTTGTGTACAGTCGAGTTTCGTTTTCAGAAGTTGGAACGGGGGAATGTTGTTGGATGGGAAGAAAGGAAAATGGAAAGGAAGGAGGTAAGTTCTTTCTCTAGGTAAAGATTGGCAATGAGTAGAGAGGTAAACAATGAACAAGAAAAACAGAAGCAGATAACAACCCTGTATGTGCGTGCGAGCTTGAGAGGATAACAAAAATAATGGAATTTGATGTTGTTCTTCAGGAAGAGGTGTTCTGGTTTTCAGTTTCAGAAGTGGACGACTGCTGCTTCTGCATCCAACTGCCGTCCTGGGCGACTTCCTTGCTGACGATGACAAAGACCTCGACGTTGTTCTCCGCCGTCAGACTGCGTCGGAGGTAGGTGACTAGGTGGTGGGCGGTGCCGATCAACGCCGGCTCCTTCAGCTTCGAGTCGAGGTTGTAGAAGAGCGAGTTGACGGCCTTCAGGGTGATCCAGTGCCGTTTGGAGGCGGTGAAGAGCGTGGCGATGCTCTTCCACAGGTCATTCTCATTGGGAATGTTTAGTATGAAGCCGAAGATGGCCTCCAGATTGAGGATGCTCGGGTCTCTGAGAGAGATAAAAAGATTAGTAAAAGATTGAAAAAAAACCCGTGATACAACGACTCACTTTGACTTGTTGAACCAGATCGCCTCAAAGTTCTTCTCCTGCAGGGCCATCTGCACCACATTGATGTCGTAGTTGCCGAAGCCAAAGGGGCTCATGTGCGGGTTGAAGAGTGAAGAGTTCGGTGCCAGGCTGGAAAGAAATAGAAAAACAGGGAATTAGAAACAAGATCAATAAAAAAACCTCCAAACAGCTTCTTACGAGCTAGCTATGCGATCCAGCTCCTGCTTGCTGAAGGCATCCGCCCGCTGGAACAGGTTGTTCAGACTGTGCAGGGCGCACATCTGGCGAAGTTGCTTCTCGTGGAAGATCTTCTCGATAGGAGCAGGAGGAAGAGGTGATGGCTTCGGAGGCTGAGAAGGATGAGGGGGAGGACGATCCCTATCACCCTCGACCTTCTCCTCCGAGCCGTTGGCTGTGATGGAGGGCGACATGGAAGTTCACTACTACTTCTTCTTCTTAGAAGTCTACAGTTACAGCTGAAAACAAACGATGCTGCTAAAGCTGCCAAAAACACTGTCACATTCTGTTTCCTCGTCTTCTTCTAAGTACTTTCTCGACGACGATCACTACTACCACCACCACCACCAGCGTCGAAGTCTTCTCCTGCTTCTCTTCTAGCTGCTGCTGCTGCTTCTGATGCGGATGGCATCGTTTGTACACTCTGAGTGTCACTCACTGAGAACTTCTCACACACTTCTCTGCCAAGCCTGTCAGCTGAGTTTGTTTATGTTCTCCAGGGAGAACTTTTGAATCTATCGTTGGCCGCCCTGCGCCCTGATTCAGGGCCACAAAGCGAAACATCAGCAGTTGACCTTTCACTTTCTCACTCTCTCGTTTTCCCTACTGTCACTTCTCTCCTCATCTCTTCTTTTTGTTTGCAGTCTTTCTCGTGTGTGTGTGTATTGTGGCGCAGTAGAACGCTTCAGTTCACTTGCAGTGCTCACCACGCACTTTGGGGCTGATCAGCATCAGCAGTTTTTGTGGTTGCCAGTTTCGTTTGACAAACGTTCAAGCTGATCTATTGTTTCCAGCAGCTTCATCAACAGCTCTGAGCTGTGAGCATTGTCCACTGCATGTATAAAGTGCTGTCCCTGAAGTGATTTCCACCGCTGTCTTCATCATCATCCAAAGCACACACTTTTCTGACTAGTGGGGCACTATGGCCGCCCCAAACAGAGCACCATCATCATCAACATCATCAACAACAACTCCTAATCCACTTATAACAGCTGAGGAAGTTCAAAAATGGTTCCGCTCATCACTTTCGTCCTTCCGAGACAAATACAAAGTGAAGAAGAAGGTGCCAGAAAAGAAGCGACCCGTTACCGCACATCCAAACAGTCTATTTTCAGTGAGTCCTGATGATGATGATGGTATCTACGACCTTGATGAAGTTCTCTACAGCAAAGTAAAAACAAAGAAAAAGAAGCAGGAACTTCTTCAGCCATCGACCAGCAAAACACTACCACCACCAGCAAAAAGCAGTGAAGACCCTATTGCTGACATCACCACCTCTTTGTTGGCCTTTGAAGCAGAGCACCATCGAGCAGCCACTTTTGAGGCGACACTGAGGCAGGCTATTGCCGACTTTCAAATGAGTTTTGAAGAAGAAGAAGAGCAACTCCAAATGATCAGCCCTGTCATCACCGCCCTCAAGGCCTTCAGTTCCTCTGCTGATGCCCGCCAAGTGGAGGCAGCAAAGGGACTTTTTAAACAGTGCATCCTTCTACTAAAGGAAGGCTATTCAAGTGACCTGAAAAAGAAAATAGGCAGTCACAAGGAGGCCGCCCTGGTAGGCTTCTGTGCTTTGCTAAACGCCCTCAGACGGCAAACTTCCAAACTGCGACCTCCCGTTCGAGCCGCCCTCATCCACCTTTTCACCGCCAAAGTCAACGCCATAGTGCGAAGCATCGGCTCACTGCTGAAGAACCTAGGGGAACGGTTGACGCACCAGGCCAACTACGAGTCCGAGGACCAGGCGGAGCGCCAGGCAAAACACCTGCCCGCCATTCGATCGCTCCTCTTCGCCTCGCTCTCTCTCCTCAAGCGAATCTTCTCCGCCGACTACGTTGAAGAGCTTGGCGTGCTGGTGAACGCTCAGTCGATGGTCTGCCTCCTGTACGGTTTCCTCCCCTACTGGCTGCTCTACCTGGTCACCAGCCGCTGGCACCGGGAGCTCTACTACGAGGTGGTCGACTTTGGTCGACAGCACCTTTTCCTCGGTGACGGCACCGACTCCGGCGACTACTCGACAATCCAGCGACAAACGCCCCCCAGGGAAGCGGCGCTAGGTCGTACGGTGGGCGCCACCGCCCTGGTCACTGCCCTCCTCAAACTGGTGAACCTCACTGAGACCAACCCACTGGCGATGATGTCCTTTTTCCTCGGCGGCAATGACGTTTCGATGTTGGGCATCGTCTTTGAGACGGCTGAGCGGGCGCTGATCACCGGCCAGGAGTTGCAGGAAAAGCGGGCCACGCTGACTCCCTCCACCTGCGAGAATCTCATTTACAAGGTGAAGAGCAGGCAGGAGGCAGTGCACCTGGCGTACGTGGCGCTGACGCTCCTCTGGAGCATGCTGGAGGAGGTGTTGAACGGCTTAGAGAAGGAGGGGAAGAGCCTGCCTGTTGCAGGCGGTTTCAGCACCACCGGACTTGAGGAGCTTCTTCTACAGCTGTACAATGTTTTTGAGAAGTACTCTGGTAAAGAAGTGCTAGTTTATCGTATGATCTTTCTAATTTCCATTTCTTCTGCTTTCTATTTTTACCAAATTTAAGATCCCTCGAATCCGTACCTGCGTGTGGCGCATTACTCTCAGCAGCTGTCCATTGCCGAGCGACTACTTCGTCAGCTGGTGAGCAGCATTGGCCCGCTCCAAATCTGGCAGTACTTCTCCAAGGTGGACGCCGCCATTGAGGAGAAAAAGACAAAGACCAAGGTGGCGACCGGAGGAGTCGTTCAGAAGGAGCCGCTGATGCTGCAGCACATGAGCACTGTCCTCTACTGTCACCGACCGCCAGAGGAGGCGATCTCAGAGCAGAGGCTGCTCGACTACCTTAGTCGCTCTCAATCGACAGCTGAAGTTAAAGACGAAAATAAACTGAAAAAAGCATCACTATCTGCAGCTTCATCCGTTTCCTCGCTCTCCTCGCTCTCATCATCGGAGAATCCTCTTCCCTCAACTTCCAGCACCTCTTCCCCTCCTGACAATCAGACAGTAGCGACCACCACCACCACCACCACCACTTCATCAGCACTATCAGCGTCATTTGAAGTGTTAAACATCGGTGCCGACAACTCCAGCAGAGGTGAAAAGTCTCCTGAACAGCGTGGTCAACAACTGTCGGCAGAAAGAGGAGAACCGAAGCTATCCGATCACCTGATCATGCTGGAAGTGTCCTCTCTGGAGGAGGTAGAAGCTGCTATTGAGCAGGTCAAATTGAAGTGCTCTAGGGCAGTTGCCGATCGGGAGATGCGGAATTTGCTGGCCGCACAACAGAAGACTATTGCAGCGTTGCAGCAGAAGATTACTGAAATGAATGATCAGAAACGATCGGTTGAATAAAAGCTGCTTTTTATCGTATAAAAGAAAGTGAATACATTGCTGTTTAAAATCAACTTGCTTGGAAAATGCTCTGTGCTGTGTGTAAATGCATATAAATTAAGTTGGAAAATGGTAAAAATAAATTAAAAGTAAAAAAAGATTAAAGTAGAGCAGAAAGTAGCTGCTGCTGCTGCTGCTGCTGCTGCTGCGGTCAAAACCTAGAAACCCTCTTTCTCCTCTTTGAGGAAAGAACAAGCGGTGCAGTCAGTGCAGTGATGAACAGAGGAGCCTCGGCGAAAGTTAATGTGAGAGGTGTCAAAGTCGGTGAGCTGGTCGTCGAGCAGCTGATCAGCAGGCGCAGACTGGTGGTGACCGGCCAGGGCGGTGCTGCCATTTGCGCCATTTTCAGGAGGCAGGTGCCCATTGCGGTCCAGCGGCAACGGCAGCAGCTGCTGCTGCTGTAGATTGTAGCCGTCCTGGTCGTAGAGGTCATTGTTGTTGGAGTGGGCGTGCTGCTGGGCCTTCAGCGCCTTCAGCGCCTTCAGCGCCTCGTCCTTGTGCTAGACAGAAAGAGCGTAGTTGGTGGCCGTGTCGGTCAGCTTGCTGACGATGTCCGCCGCCTCTTCAGCGCTCCGCGAGCCAGTCGGGTACTGGTCAGCGGTGAAGCCGCCGTCGTCCGTCAGCTGCGTGATCGCCGCCTGGCACACCTTGATGCACTTGGCTGGTCGTCAGGGCAGGAGGCATCACAGCCGGTGTCCATTGAGTAGGTCTTGCCGGAGCCGGTCTGGCCGTAGGCGAGCACCGTCGCATTGTAGCCCTCGAAGCACCTACAAAAACAAAACAAAGTTGTGTACTCAAAAAAAGTAGCTCTCGCTGATCATCACTTACCCATCGACAAGGCTTTCCACATAGTTCTCGTAAACTTTGCTTTGCTTGGCGTCACAGTCGAAGACGTGGTCAAATGTGAACGCCTTGTCGTGGCCCAGCGAGATTTGCGGCTCACCCGGAGTCACTCGGGTGCACATGTCAAAGATCTCCCTTTGAAGCTTGGGTCGAATCTTACAAAGAAGAAGAGTAAGTAAATAGAGTGCACTTTGAAATACACACAACGCAAACACATACCTAATAGCCACGCTGAAGTTGTTGGTAGCCATCTTCAGCGCTGGGCTTGACGGTACAGTGACACAAAGTGTTGTAAAGTGGGGCAGGGGGGGAAGGAGAGCACTGAAAGAAAACTCATTTGACAATCACTGCAATTGTTCTGAGGCAGAAAACCAGAAAACCCTTCGACGATGGTGAGTCATCACCACTGCCGACGCCGCCGCCGAGATGTCTGCCGCTAGGCAAGGGCAAGTTCGGCCACGTCTACCTGGCTTGCACCCGCAAGGAGGAGTTTCTCGTCGCCCTCAAGGTGCTCCACAAAGAGCAGCTGATCAAGGACGACATGTCTCACCAGTTGCGACGAGAGATTGAGATTCAGGCGAACCTCAGCCACAGGAACATTCTCAAAATGTACACCTACTTCTACGATGAGACTCGAATCTTCATGGTGCTCGAGTACGCGCCACGGGGTGAGCTGTACAAGTTGCTCTCATGAAAAAGCCGATTCGATGAGAAAAAGTCTTCAAAGGTAAGTTGTGCTTTTTCCTGCCTTTTTGGCTTTTTCTACTTTTGCTAAAATTATTTTTCTTCTTTTCTGTTTCAGTACGCTCTGCAGATGGTGGACGCTCTGGAGTACTGCCACCAGAATGACGTCATCCACCGCAACATCAAGCCAGAGAACATACTCATCGGCTACAATCACGAGCTGAAAATCTCCGATTTTGGGTGGTCGGTGCACGCACCCTCTTCCAAGCGCAAGAAATTGTGCGGCACCATCGACTACCT